ATATATCTCATCCAGTAGATAAAAGGGAACCATCAGAGATTTCTGGAAAACAGCTTTCTGCTCTCAATATCCAATTCTTCCTTCTTTGCAGGTCATTGAAATCCTATTTATTATTTGCTTCAACAAGTCATGGTTGCAACTTCTTCCCAACCCCAACTTGATTTGAGAGAGATTACTCTAGCCACATTGACGGCAATGTCTCCACCCCTGGAAAAGCACAGATGCAAAGGTGATGGGTTTTTCACCATTCAGGGTAGCCCCCAAGCAGCAAAGTCCTAGAATATGCTTGCTGGGACCGCTGCCATTCTTGTCAGGCCTTGGTTCTCTCTTTGTAAAGGAAAGCAGAATATATTTGAGGAACTATGACCATATAGCCCCTTTCAGGAGCATACACCCCTGAGCTGAATTCACGAAGGCATGATGCTGCTGCATTGAACAGACTGCTTCCCTGCCGTAATGCCATTCCTCTCCACACCATCAGGGTGGGCCAGCGAAGGCTGGAGCAATGATAAGATCTGTGGGCTCTGTGATCAGGCTCTCAGTACCCAGGCATTATAAGATCATGCCCCAGTCTAATTTATTTCTGAAATGTCTCTTCCCCCTCAGATATGTCCTGTTCCTTCTTTACACCTCCTGTCAATTTCTTTTTTTAATAGACATATTTCCCTGCTGCTTACTAATAACCAGAGTGACTGATTCAACAGCTGGTACGACCAAGTGTGCAGAAAGCAGGATCCTTTCCCAGGCTCAGAAGGAATGGAAGACAGGCTTTTTTATTTTTATTTTTTTTCAAAAAAAAAAAAAAAAAGCTCACAATCTGAAGCACACGTCACTGGTAGGGCTGACAAATGTAGCAAGGGTGTTCTTTACATGGGACCCAAAAGATTTCGAGGCCTCAGTCAATGCTGGACTTGCTTTCTTTGCCTACTTTCCAATTTTACCTCTTCAGTGGAAAAAGAAGCATGTCTCAGTTTTCCTGACACCGAGATGCATGAACTATTACCTCCCACAGAAAAAGAGGAAAAAGAAGGATCAGGCGACCATTCAACTCCCAGTGTATCCCCAGCTCCTCCAGGAGAGCATTTGGAATTTATAGGTCACCCTTTTTGTTTTGCAAGTTCTCTAATTTCCTATTTTTAAAAATTTTATTTTATTGAAGTATAGTTGACTTACAATGTCGTGTTAATTTCTGCTATAGAGCAAAGTGATTCGGTAATATATACATTTTTTTCACGTTCTTTTCCATCCCAGTTTATCACAGGGTATTAAACATAGTATCCTATGCTATACAGTAGGACTCTGTTGTTTACCCACCCTATATATAATAGTTTGTATCTGCTAACCCCAAACTGCCAATCCGTCTCTCCCCCACCCACCTCTCTCCTGTCAACCACAAGTCTGTCTTCTACATCCATCTGTTTTATTTTGTGGATAAGTTATTTTCTGTAATATTTTAGATCCACATATAAGTGATATCATATGGTTTCTGTCTTTGTCTGACTTAATTAACTTAGTTTGGTAATCTCTAGGTCACCTTTTGGACTCAACACGTAAGACAGGACAGCGGACTGTTCTAGGGGGATTAGCCCTGATGGCCCTTCTCTTCACTGCCTGGTTCTGAAGACAACACCAAACAGCCAGGATGAAATAAAGTTGATACGAAAACAATGGCTGCAAGGAAAATAAAACTGCTGTAAAGCCCAAGAAACATTAAGAATGGCCATGGGTTCTCGGCCACGAAGAGCCACAGATCCCTAACTGTTTGAGGTCTGCAGTGCGGGGCAGTAACTATGCCTCCCTTTACCTGCCATTCACCTCCAGCGCAGAACCCAACATTGTCCTGTGCATCCCTGCCATGAAATCTGGAAAAAAAACCCTCTAAACACTTAGAAACAAACAGCTAAACACATGATCCTACTCACATCACCAGTCACTGGGCAAATGCAAAATAAAGATTTGACTGCGTGCATGAGATATTCTCAACCAACCCTAAGGAGCCAGCTTTCTATTAGAACATGCCTGGTCGAGCCCATAAGAGGTACACGTGTTGTGTGGCAATTAATAAACTCTTCTTAATAGTGATTAGTTCCTCCCTCCTGTTATGCTCTCGGTGTAGAGACACCAGAAGCCTCCATTTAAGAGCCCAGATCTGAAACCTGGAGACTTGGGGAGCACAAGGGTTCTATACTCATTCCCTCCTGTTCATTCAATAAAGCCCAAATCCAATGGCCTTAAGGGTTCACTGCGAAATGCCATGTGTTCAGCCAGGCACCTCTGTGATAAATGTAGGAGAGATGGCAGGGTGGGTGGAAGACAGGGGCATCAAGGCCAGTGATCACAGTCACCTCATAATCACCTGCCTGCTAAGTATGTTTGGAGACTGTCACAAGTTCTCACAAATCACAAAAAGCCTTAACAATAATAAAGCAGCATTTCTTTCTCTTCTTCTTATTCCTCTGGACAAACATACAGTTTCTTCTGTCCTGCAGAGTCTTTAATAAGATGGATGGTATCACTCTATTTTGAAAAATTCTGTCCCCCTTAATACACAATTTCAAAGCTGTGTCTTGGCCCAGCTTTCTTGCTGGCTCACAGCAATCAGAATACCACATATTATGAAACAACCTGCAATCTGTCCCCCATCCCCAACCAGAACATTCTCAAGCCCAACTCAGTGGATTGCCATGAAGGAGAGCTCCCCTGGCCTCCAGGGGTAGAGCTGTAAGACCAAGACAGCCCACTGGTTTTTTTCTCATCTTACCTCTTACCCCGTGTCTTCCTCATTCTAAACTGCTTTTCCCTTCATTCTCTAACACTTTAGGGAGCAATTCCATTAAATGTAATAACAGTGTAGTAATACAAAGAACATCATTTTCTAGTGCTAATAACTTTAATTTTAAAACCACTTGTGTGCCCCAAAATTTAGTAAAGCCTCCATTTCTCATCAAGGCCAGCAGACATCAAATTCAAAGCATTCAAGTTCTGTCTCTCTGGCATAGGTAATCTAAGTACAGGGGAATTGAAATGCCATTTAAAGTCAGATTTGCTTTGATGCTCATGTTGCCAGCTTTCCTGATGGAGACTCATTTCTGTGCATAAAATAGACAAACAGAACACCAGCAAAGGGACCCAAAGCTGTATAAGGAAAGTACGACCACTTGCAAGAGGACCAGCAGTATATGACCCTCTAGGTACCCTTTCTAGAATTTCCTGTAGACCACCAACTTATGTACCCTCTGTATCCATCCTACCATTTCCTGTATTTGCCCTTTCTGAACCAAAATATAAATTTATGGAATTAAAATTTCATAGCACTGATAGGGATCACAATTTTTAGACTGGTCATCAGGAGAGAATCAAAAGAATATTCTCCCATTAGCACCAAGTTCAAATCTGTGCAAATGCTATCATTGCCTTTCACCCTATTCTGTTCATTCTCTCTTGTGTGTGCTCATGTGTGACTCTTTGTGACCCCCATGGACTGTAACCCACCAGGCTCCACTGTCCATGGAATTTTCCAAGCAAGAATACTGGAGTGGGCTGCCGTTTCCTCCTCCAGGGGATCTTCCTAACCCAGGGACTGAATCCGAGTCTCCTGTATTGGCAGGCAGATTCTTTTACCTCTGTGCCGCCTGGGAAGCCTTCTGGTTTGGGGGACTATAAAAATGGCAGCTGAACTGAGAACAATGACTTGCAATTCTGGTTGCCTCTGAATCAACTTAGGAGCTTTTAATATACGTACATTCCCAGGCCCTTGGACTTCCCAGGCGGCGCTGGTGGTAAAGAACCTGCCTGCCAATACAGGAGACAAAAGAGACACAGGTTCAATCCCTGGGTTGGGAAGATCCCCTGGAGGAGGGCATGGCAACGCACTCTAGTATTCTTGCCTGAAGAATCTCATGGACAGAGGAGCCTGGCTAGCTACAGTACATAGGGTTGCAAGGAGTCAGACACGACTGAAGCAAGTTAGCATGCATTCCCAGGCTCTTATCCCATCCTGTACACCTAAATTGGAATTTTGCTGTGGGGGACCCTGGGATCTGTACACAGTTTCTTAAACCTTTCAGGGAAATTCTAGCACATAGTTAGGACTGAGAAACACTGACATGGAAAACTCCAAACACAAGGAACTGAAGGCAGCACGGTGGCAAGTCAGCACATCAGTACTTCCCCGAGGCTGTTGAGTCAGCATCAGGTGGTAGTATGAAGCCTCCTTTGTTTGGAAAGGGATAAGGTTAACTTCTGATAATCACAGCAAACACAGCTTATTTGCATTACCTCACTCTCTGTTACTACTTCTACCCCAGACACCCCGCCCCTGCTCTCGGGAAAAGTTTGTGGGACTCAGGATTCATTCCCCAGCAAGACTCAGTTTCTGGACAGGTCCCCATGGTTTTGAGCACACAGTAGGTACAGACTGATGAAAGAATCTGTTCCTCGTGCTGATGAAAGAATCTGTAAGAAGCCGATCACATGGCGGATGGTTCAGAACACACAAGTGTTCCACTTGGCTAGTCTGGGTTAGTTTCTTTTTTAACGTTTTATTTTGTATTGGGGTATAGCCGATTAAAAATGTCATGATAGTTTCATAAATAGCAAAGGGACTCAGTGATACATATACATGTACTCATTCTCCCCCAAATCACCCCTCTCATCCAGGCTACCACATAACACTGAACAGAGACCTGTGCTCTAGAGTAGGTCCTTGGAGCTTATCCATTTTAAACATAGCTATGTGTACATATCCATCCCAAACTCCCTAACTCTCCCTTCCTCCTATCCTTTCCCTGGGGCAACCATACTGAGTAAAGCAAGTCAGAGAGAGAAGGAGAAATATCGTATGACATCCCTTATATGAAGGAAATAAAAAGAAATGATACAAATGAAGTCACAAAACATAAACAGACTCAGACGTAGAGAAGGAACTGATGATGTTTGCTGGGTGAATTTTGGAATCTGCTGAGTGTTTCTGTTCCAGGAAGGAAGCGCTTCCCTGAGGACTGAGCCAGCCGCTAGAGGTCGCTCTGAGCCAGAGCCTTGGTCAACTGGGCACCAAAGTAAAATCACAGGGAACTGAAGGCTGCTAGTAGCCTGGGAGACATGGCAGCAGTGTGGCTCCTATTTTTAAACTTGCTGGTGAGTGAGCACACGACGTGCGTGCGTGGGGGAGGAGGGGAATCTGATTCCTGTCCAAAGAATATTCTTTTAAGAGGTTTTGAGTTTGCAGGTGGCTAATAATCTGTGACCATGAGATCAAAGAATTCAGCTGGTATCAGCTATATTAGAAGGATTCTTTTCTCCTCCTCAACTCCACTATCTCGTTCTCTATCAGAGGAGATCCATCACAGTCTTGTGTCAGAAGTATCAGGCAATTCTGGAAACGTTTAACAAATGTATGCTGAAATTTTGATCTTGGTTTCTGAGGCTCATTCCTCTAGCCTCTTCAGCAACTCATTCATTCTGTGTCAGAAGAAAAATCAGTCTAAACAAGGAGATTGAAAGAACTTGCTGTGGATGATCCACTGTTAGTGATGCCAAGCAAATGGATGGTGTGTCATTTGCATGCCTAGCACCCAGGGCCCAGAACATGTGCAGGGCATAAAAAGGGGTCAAAAACAAACAGTGAATATGATGCTGAGAAGTAGAGAAAGCTACCCTCTTCGTATCACGTTTCTTTCACTCTCAAAGCACTGCTTTTACTCTTAGCCAGTCTCTAGCCAAGTATTACCCTTAAGCAAATCCAAACTTATCTGACCTGTCAAAAATGAATAGCAGCCGTGGAGGACATCTGTAAATCATGACAGGGGCCAAGGTCTTGTTTTGTTTTATTACAAGCCCCTGACAGTGTTTTTCCACACGTATGTCACCTCCAGGAGCCTTGCTGGATCTCAGAACAGAAAGTCAGCTCTCACTTCACTTCAAAGGACTTTCAGGTCCAAGAACACTACAAGTGGCTGTTTCTTCATATGCGGACTTAAAGGACTTTGGAGTATACAGAAATATGGGGGGAAAATCAACCTTTCTCATTGAAAAGGAAGGTATAAGACAGACCACAGCAAGGCTGGGTAAACAGAGATGTGACAGACTTTGGGATGGGGAGGAAAAGAAACAGACTCAGTCTGGAACATCCTCAACACATGTGCACAGATATCTGGACTGTTCCTGGACTGTTTCCGGATTGATCATAGCTTCAGAACAAGAATTCAGTACATCAGTCAAGAAAGGATATTATTATAAAACTACTCTGTCCCGAGGTTAATCATGTGTTCACCTATATCACAGTCATGCCTAGCTGACCTGACCTCCTCAGTCATGGAAAGATGGACAGTGTGGGGCAAAGCACACCTGGAACCCATCAAGACTTGGGTTTGAAACTCAAGTTTATCTGTATGTGGAGTGGGCAAGTGATGGGACCTTTCGAGATCTCAGTTTCTTTCTCTGAAAAATGAAAGTAATAATGCCTCTGAGCAGTACTTTTAAAATGAAATAAGGCTATATAAAACACTTGGCACAAGGTAGTCACTCAATAATCTTTTTTTAAGTAAATTTTCTAAATTGCTGAAGCTGTGTGTTTTTAAGTATCAAGCTTTTTCTTGATTATAGGAAGCATTTTCAAATGGAAAATTTCAGAAAGGTAGCATAGAGTTCACTGATGCCTTAAACAAAAGATAATCAATATAATTTAAGCTCTTATTGATGACTTAACAATGTCTATGCTGTTTTGCTCTATAGGGATGCTTTTAAAGGGGGTATATGTTTTCTAAGGAGTATAAGGCAGTCTACCCCAAATGATCTTAGACAAATGTTCCTTTCAAGGTCTTTCACTGGATTTTCCTAATATTTTCTGCACCTTATAATTGTATTTATTTCTTAATGCCATCAGCTCACCTACCCAACTCCCATCCTGTTTATTATTTCTAAGCTGTTGTCATCTGGGAAATCAGAGAGGCCAGTTATCACCAGACACAAATGGTCACCTACCAAATATAGGGCCTTGACTTTCTCTCTCTAGTTGAGAGAACTTGGATTTTTAACTAGGCCTATTACTGCCCAGGTCATAAACTAAATTAAACTAGACTAAGCTGAACTGCCAGCTTCTCTTGCAGCTAGCAGTGGCCATTGACTGATTTCTGACAGATGGGCTAGAAGTAAAGTAAGGGCCTTCTGGGTGTTCTCCTTGAAAGGGAAAGAACTTGCCCTCCTTCCTTCCTAAGTTCATCCTGCTGCTTGAAACAGGCGTCTTTAGCATGGGGATAAAGGCCACACCCTATAAACAAAAGACTAGAAAGCTAACAGGAGGAGTCTGGGGCCTGATGACTAGGCAGCCACCATACCAGTTCTGGACAAACCACCTAAAATATGTTCATGAATCTTGTTTAAACTGGGTTACAGATACTCTATGCCACATTTAAACCAACTGCCTCACAAGTTTCTTAGAAATATGTATAAAATTACAGCAAATGAACTCTTTAGATAAAATAGGTCACATTCATTTTATGGTAAGATTTTGTGTCAGTGATTTGAGCTCAAAACCCTTTTCTGCTTTCTTTGGGATTCTTGGTTATGTTCAGTGCATCCTATTGCTGAATTTATGATCCTTTCTCTCCCAGGTAAAGGAGGTAAGTCTATATGTGAACACATGTGAGATGTGGGAACAAAATAGCCTGTGGGGGGCTTTCCAGGTGTCTCAGTGGTAAAGAATCCACATGCAATGCAGGAGATGTGGGTTCAATCCCTGGGTCAGGAAGATCCCCTAGAGAAGGAAATGGCAACCCACTCCAGTATTCTTGCCTGGAGAATCCTATGAACAGAGGAGCCTGGTGGGCTACAGTCTATGGGGTCACAAAGAGTTGGACATGACTAAGTGCGCATGCACGTGTGCACACACACACACACGCACACACACACAGAGCCTGTGGGATCACTCACCATTTTGAGTCATAATCTATAATACACACACTCAGATACCTAGCTTTTTCTCTACCTACTCAAAATGAGAGAAATTTGACTTATTAGTGTAACCTATGTAATAATGAACTATATTATAATGCCATTCTATTGTGCTATTTTCGCTTGAACAAAAGTTTCTGATAGATTTTTGTTCAATGACCAAGAAAAGTACATAGGAATGTCTGGAAATGCTGGTGGGAAAATTAAAAGAAAGTAAGTATCAGAGTTTTCTCTGTTGATCCCCCCACCATGGATCTGTGCAGTGAGCAGACAAAGCCCTTACAGCTCTGTTGTAATGAATCGGTGAATTGATGGACATGAAGATTCCGTGTATGAAAATGGTCACTTTGATCATCATTAGCCATGATCATGAATGAATTGAAGGTACTGATCATCAGGTTTGATGTTAAACAGTAAATGGACTTTGACATACATCCTCATCTGGACCACACATCCTCATCTGGATGCCACCCTGACCTCTTTCAAGGGGTGCTGAAAAGGACCGCTTAGAATGAATATGATATGGTCACAGTGTGGCTTCCATGGCTATTTCTGCTGCTTCACAGGGAAGATCTTTCCTTCAGAAAAAAGAAGATATCTATGGACTTCTTCACACGATATAGACCCACTGGCCTACTATGTCTACCTCTTTTACCTAAAGAGTAAATGTAGGGTTACTTAGCAACCAGTCTTACAGCCACCAAGACTTTATAAATGAAATCAGAGTGGATGGAAATACCTTGTTGATATTCACCAGAGCCAACTGCAGGCAAGTCACATAGAAAGATTCTTCCCAACTTCTGTCCCATCTACAGCCCTTTGCGGACAATCAACAACATGGTCTCAGGGACAGGAAGAAGTGGAGAGATTTTCTATGGGAAATATTTTCATCCAGTTCTTTGAATAATTCTCTATTCACCTGAGAGATGCCAAAAGTGAAAGTCGTTAAGTCGTGGCAGGCTCTTTGAGAGCCCCATGGACTGTAGCCTGCCAGGCTCCTCTGTCCATGAAATTCTCCAGGCAAGCAGAGCGGAATGGGTTGCCATTTCCTTCTCCAGGGGATCTCCCAGACTGAAGGATCGAACCCAGGTCTCCTGCACTGCAGGCAGATTCTTTCCTGTCTGAGACACCAGGGCAGGGTACACACAGATGTCCATGCTGTATGGATGTCCAATGCACACGCACGTGGACATGTGTGCCTGTGTGTGCGTGTGCAAGAACTCCACGGGGTCACCTATGACCACAGAAAGCTAAATGTAAGAAAGCCTTCAAAGCTCGACAGGAAAGCTAGGGAGAAAGAGAGAGGGGCAGCAAGAGATCAGTGAACGGAACACCCTATGGAGAAAGATGGAGAAGAATAAGCAGGAAGGTGGGGAGCGGTGTGAGGCAGCCATGAATGAGGGACAGTGAAGCCCGAGCAGCGAGGGAGGCAGTCAGTCGGCAGCCCCCGGCCTGCTGCTGCCGCTGGCAGCCGGACAAGAGGGAACAGATTCCAGCAGCAGGGGCTCTAATCTGTCAGCAGCAGTCCCTTCACGTGTGATCGGCCGGCCCAGCTTGGGGACCGGTGCCAGTCTGGGCGCACTGACCCCGCTGGGCCCTCCCGGAAGAGAATGCGCCACTGATGAAACCCTGAAGGGCCGGGGAGGGCTCCCTGACCCCCAGCCCCAGCCACTGCCCTCCTCCTCCACCTCTCCGGGTGCGCCTGTCTGCAGCATGGGGTCACTTCCCTCAGCAAGCCCTTCTCAAGGTCAGCCAGGCCCAACACCCCACTTCCTCCCGATCTTTATCGGCCACACCAGGTCCTGGAGGACTCTTTCCGAGAGATGACCTTCTATACATCCACGACAGCTCCACTGGAGAGGAAACGGAGAAAGGCTCAAACCATTACTTATTTAAAACGTGCGAGGTCTTACAGAGATGCCAAAGCCACAGAAGCCTCTCTATTCTCAAGAAGCTTGTGTTCGTTAAGCTGACCTTGGCCGGCCGTGGTCCAGCCCTCACTCGGGCTTCCAGCCCATGTCTGTAACCATAAATGACAGCACTCGCGCTTTCTGGCAACTCGCCTCCATCCTTACCGCCACCCAGCCAGCCTTTATCCTCTGGTGGGAAGAGAGAGCAGATGGAGAAATGACTCCCACTCAATTCCTAAATAACACCAGCTTCAATTCCCATTAACTGTGAATTTG